CGATTAGGAGCATTAGCCCCATTTTGTTGTGATTGATAATTTATAGGATTCCTAACCTGATTATAATTTAATTTTTGTTGGAATTCTTGTTTTGTTGCTTGATATAATGGGTGGTTTTTATAAAAAGTTTCGCTGTTATTTTTATTATAATTAGGCTTATGTTGGCCTTGAGATGTACTAGCCTGTTGCTTATATTGATTTGGGGAAATATTATTCTGCTGTCTGTATTGGTTTTGGGAATTATAGTTTTGTTGTTTATTAGTATTTTGTTGGGGTTGATAATTTCTCTTATCTTGGTTTTGACTTTGTGAATTCTTTGTTCGATCTGAATAAAATGTTTCATAACAACCTTCTTGTTGTGCTACACATTTTAGTTTATTAGCATTAGTAATATCATACCTAGCCAATGTCATAAAAAGTCTGTCTGGCAATTTTTTCATAATAACATCTTTAACTGTATTATTAAGAGCATTTGTGTATAAAATTGTATTTGAAGCGTTATTTTCTAAGGCTAATTTATTTAATATTACAAAAGATTTGGACTCAATGTCCTCAACAAACTTACGTATACACCCAGGAAAGGGGGTGTTATACAGACGTCTTAGTAGTTCTTCGCAGGGCGTCTGGGTTTTATATTCGTTGATGAGGGCGTTCCTTAAATCCCTCCAGCATCTGGCTGTTGATAGTTGAGATATCCTCTGGGCATCTCCGTGAAGCTGCATTTCAATCGCACTGAAGAATACGCTCGACTGGCGTATACATGTTGTGGGGTACAACTCCAGGATGAAGTCTATCCTCCTGATGAACGGGCTGAGTTCGAGCGTGTTGCCTCCAAATTGCGGCACTTGCCTGATTTGGTTCAGGGCTTGATTTAGATGGTTTTCTGACAATAATAGCACTGGTTCTGCCATTTTTGGTTTTTTTATTTAGTTTTATAAATTTTTCACAATTTTAAAAGTTTTGTATTATGAATTTGATTTAAAATTGTTATACCTTGTCTCTTACCACTGGTGGGGGAGAACTAAGGTGTTTTATTTTTTAGTAACCCTTGTGTTACGAACAAAGGCACTAACTTTTACAATAAAACGGGTTTTTGCAAAAAATTTGTTTTTATTATTTTTTTTTTTGTTTTAGTTACTTGACAGTCACACGGGTCAAGATTTATGTTTTGTTAAAAAAAACCTCGCAACCTGAGCTTCGATAGCGTGTTGCAAAAAATTGAGGTTTCCGTTCGTATATTAGCGACACAAACCGACACTGCGATAGCTGGTTTATAATTGCACTGGGACGAACGACGTTTGGGTTCTTTAAGGATATAACCGTATAAAAAGTTATATCCTACCGACTGCGCCAATAACAAATTCGGGATTTAATTTTTATTTATCAAAATAGTGTAAACGCGAACTGGGAGAGATAGGTCTGCTCCTTACAAGATACAACTTAAAACTCAAACTTAAAAACTAAGCTGGCGCTTATCAAACCTTCGATTGGGAGAAAGAACTTTATTGATAAATTGAGAGTGTCCAAAATGAGAGCACTGAGCAAGAGAGTGATCTAGGTTTGAGCTGCGTCTGCAATTTTACAGTATTGGGGGATAAAAGCTTTTTGGAGTTTGGGGACATTTGTTTATAATGCAAGAGGATGTTTACATTAATTGGTCAGTCGTGGGAGCCGACAATTTGGGGTTCTTTCATTTGTTTATAACTCAAGAGGATGTTTATATTAATTGGCGACTCTTGGGAGCCGATGATTTTGGGTGTGACAAATGCGTAATGTAAATATGTTTATGTGGTAGATATGTGGGTGTGTGTATGTTACTTTATGTGGTAGATATGTGGGTGTGGGTATGTTACTATATGATCGTGACAAAGGGCTTCAATAGTAGTTTTCAAACAGAAGTCATTTCACTGACTTTAGTAAAGCATTTGACTCTGTAAATCACTAACTTTTGTTCAAAAACTTGACTTGATAGGTTTTCCAGTCGATCTAGTTAAATGAATCTCAAGTTATCTGAATGGCAGGTCACAAAAGGTCCTTTTTAAAAATTCAATTTCTAAAATTCTCCGTGTTACCTACGTTTAATAAATCCGTGTTGACACGGAGAAATGATTGATCTACAAAGGTGCTGCAAATGAGAAGTAATGATTTTTCAAAAAGCTTAGGAATAGCTGACAACTTAGAAATACCTCTATAGTTACTGGCTTCTAACTTGTTACAAATTTTGGGAAGTTTTAGAGAGCTCCCGGATAAACGGGTATATCCAGCTTTTGTTAAAGTGGGTGTTATATTTGTAGATAGGTCGTTTGAAAAAATTGGGCAAATAAATCGGCTATGGCCTGATCTGTGGTTGCCGTCCTGTTTTCGAACGACAGCGTGGAAGGATAAGAATTAGATTTACGCTTGGTGTTAACAAAATTATAAAACTGTTTCGGGTCCTGAGAGAACTGGACCTTACAACGGTTTAAGTAACTATTATAACACTGAGCATTAAGCACGGTAAATCTTGACCGAGCACTTAAATATCTAGTAAAAACAAATTGAGAACCGGTATTTTTATATTTCCTAAAAAGTCTGGACTTTACATTTCTTAAGTGTGTCAACTCTTTGCTAAACCAAGGTGATTTATTGAAAATTGACGGATAGTACCACGGAACACAGGAATTAAAAAATGATTTTATTGCAGTGCAAAAACCATTAACTGCATCGGACATATTATTGCATAAGTAAAGATCAGACCAATTAAAGCCAGAAATAAAATTATTTAGCCCCAGAAAGTCTGCCTTGCGAAAACAATGTATTCGTTTGGATTTTTCTGATTTTTCTTCTATAACTCTTCCCGTATCAAATGAATGTTCGATTGTAGGGTGATATGGATCTTCAGGTTGCGTGAGTGGTACTACTCTGGACAGAAACACACCTTCAGGATTTGATACAAAACACAAATCAAGAAGGCGACCTAGTGAATTTCGAACATGGTTTACTTGAGATAAGGATATGTCAAGCAGGCCGTCAATAAAATCATGCTGTGTTATAGGTAGTAAGACATTCGATCCATCCTCAATGGACCAGGTAACTCCAAGTATATTAAAATCACCTTGAACTACCAACTGATCCCTATCGGAAAGCTTAATAACGGAAAGGTGATTTAAATAATCAGGTAGTTCAGACAACGGCGGAATATGTATATGAGCAAGTTATGTATATAGAGCTACCAGGAAGCAATAACTTTTCACAAATAAATTCAATGGAATTGAATCAACTCCAATTAAGACTCCACCTCCTCGTCTAGAGGGACGGTCATACCAATATATTGTGTACTTACCTGGAAAAACTTCGGAGCTAAAGATCTTCGGCTTTAACCACCTGGTAAACACAATAATATGAGATGCAAAGAAAAGCCTTTCAGAATACAATTTAGTGAGCTTGCTACGCAAGCCTCTTGCATTCTGATAGGAAAGAAGGAGATTGGAAGTTATTTTTTTGAAATTGGTACACTGGTTTGGCCTCATGCCAAACCAAAATTTTTTGTTTTTGATAAACGCCCCTTACTATACAGGAAACTCCACTATATTTCGATATCTAAATTATTCCTGTCTGTAAATCTATCACGAATACAAGACAAAACAAGACTTCTCACACATACAAAACGAGTTGCCCTGACACTATCCAGACCATCTGACAATTGGATACTAGGACGGCCCACTATTGGGAGACTCATTCCTGACTCATAGTTTGAAACACTGCCCAATATTGTAAGTGGATTTTTTCTAATAAACTACCTGTGAACACTTCAAAGCGTCAAGGTGAATTGAGTTTCACAAAACACACTATTAATAAAAATAAAACTTAGTTTCAAAATCAAAAATAAAACTTTAAATTACCAATTAATTATCAGTAAACTAAAAAACAACTCTTTTTTTAATTTCTTTATACACCGGCAGACTCTTCTTGCCATGGTGTAGTTTGGTAATTTCCGTGTATTACTATAGGGTCACACTGGACCAAAACAATAACAGCAATGTTAAAACAAGGCAAACAAGAAAGGAAGCAAACTATCCATGCAGTTAATAAAAACGACATTTCGATTTCTATGCCTATATTACTAAAACCAATAAAGCTATGTCGATTTGCACTGCTATCCTACTATATCTCAAAGGAACATTTTGATGAATAAACCAGAAAGAAAAGCTAACTTGATATACCCTTGCAGAATATTCTGTAAATTATATTCTCCAAAACTATTCCTATGATGCATTCTTAATACTCATAACAAATCCCAACTTCCTAACTTTAAAAACACCAAAGTTATGGCATTTCCAATCGTTCAGTTATATGGCATCTATAGGATATAGTCGGCTGATTCTTATGAAATCCTTATGAAACAAACTCCAAAGTTATGGCACTTCCGATCAATCAGTTATATGGCGGCTATAGGATATAGTCGGTCGATCCTAATGAAATTTGGTAGGTCGAATTGATTGAATCCCAACTTCCTAACTTATAAGGATCGGCCGACTATATCCTATATAATTAATTCTATGACCGTAACTGCCCGATACTGTCACTCCCTTGCATTATAAAAGAGGCTGAAAAGGGTCGTTATGTCAAATTCAAAAGAAGTATGAGTATTAAGAATGCATCATATGAATAATTTTGGAGAATATAATTTAGAGAATATTTTGCAAGGGTATATCAACTTCGGCTCCGCCCGAAGTTAGCTTTCCTTTCTTATTTTAGATTAATCCAGTTATAACTCGAAAATACATGCATAACTGCGAATATATATTTTTTAGTTAATTGCTGTTATATCCGAAACAATCAACATTGATAGCTTGTCTGCGCAAACCTTTTTTTTTGTAGTTTTCACGAGGTAAGCCATATTTTATGTTCATAAGTAAGCATTAAAAAACTTTGAAAATACGATCTTTAAGAAGATTAACTTTACAAAATTATCAACTGAGTACTCAAAATGCTAATTTTATATTATCATTTTTTTTCAGAGTTGCTGCCTCTCAACTTGCTACTCTTGGATGTCCAGAGTTAATAGCTCGTACAAGAGAAGAATACCAAAATATTGCTATACGTCTGGGAACAAAAAAAGAATATTTGAAAGCCCTACGAGCAAAAGTATGGAAAGCACGTGTGGATAGTCCGTTATTTGATTGCGCGCAATATGCCAAAGGATTAGAAAAATTGTTTTTACGTATGTGGAATAAATTTGAAAACGGTGAACATCCTGATCACATATCTGCGCTATAATAAAAGAAAAATAATGTCAATTGAGATTTTCACATGCCAGTGGGAATCAGAAGAAAATTTAAATTTTAAATTGTATATGTGTTAAATATATACAAGAGTTTTCTACCTAAGAAGACCCGAAAAGTTAATACCCGAATTCATTTATAAAAACCTACCTTTGAGATGTTAGTTTTTGTTAGAATTAAACACAGCTTAACAGATACACTTGTAAGTATCTTGTCAAGTTAAAAAAAAACATGCTTATAAAAAATAATCTTGAGTTTAAAGTCGCATCGGCTTAATCATAAGTCATATATAATTAAAATATTAAATTTCCCGTAAACATTATAATAAAATTAATGATTTTACGTTCGCTAATTGCAAGATACCGTAGAAACATGGTAAAGAATATTGGGTGTTATGTTTGGAGTGTTAATTGTCAATTTCAAAATTTTGATGATTTTCAATGGGCTGGTAAATGAACATATATTATTTTTTAGGCTTGTAGCTTTGCATCCATTTATTTGAAATCTTAAAAAAGAAGAAAACAATTTTACATCATTTTTTTTTTGGTTTTTTGTTTTCTGTCATTAAACAAAAGCCCTTCTTTTTGTCGGCGCATGTGATTTCCGCTCACTGGAACATCTGAAACCAAAAATTCCAACGGGTTTAGGAAGAGTACATGTTTGGCTCTGGTATGAACTAGGATTATTAATTTCCTACAAAAATTAACAAAATGGCGGACCATTGAAATTTTTTTTTGGAAATCGCCACAAATCAAGTTGAAAAGTAAAGAAAATCCTCACCGATTTGCTTTATCCTAGTTCATACCATAGCTATATATGTATAGTATAACGTTTTAAAATTTGGAACCGATTGGACTAATAGTTTTTGAGTAACCTCATGCGCCAGTCGTAAAAAAACGAGTTTCAAGATTTGAGAAGTAAATTCTTGGGTAAAAACATACCTACGTTCAATCATAAATCGTCCACCATAAATCGGCTTTATCTTCTAAAGTTTTTGAAATTTTCACTTGAAATTTTAAAGGAACATTCTTGAATAGTTATAGGTTCGAATTAAATAAAAAAATCGATTTGTGGGGTCCCCTTAAATTCAATTTTTTATTAGGATTATAAATATAAATAAAAAAATAGTATTTGTTTAATTTCCTTTTTTGGCCAGATGTTTTTGTGCAATAATTTCATTTCAAAAAAGCAATTTGTGATAGACGACATTTTTAGTTTTATTATCAGGCGAATGAACAAATAACGGAAAAGATGGATTTTGGCACAGGTTTGATGCGTGCAATGGAAAGTATGTCAAAATGATAGCAGGAAATAAAGTGCGTTGCTGACTTCAAAAAGTTTTGATGATTGCTTTAAGAATTGTCATAGAACCTTGCTTCCGTCGTTTAAAATTCTTAATGTATCATTCCACGAAGCTATAAATTCTACCCGTTGACTTTTTCCAGATGCACCGCCATATGCACCACAGTAGACTCAAGTTCGTGAATAGGAAACACTAATACACGCTGAATCACTTCGTTGCAGTTCACATACCGACCAACTTGATAACGCGCATTTTCATTCTTGGTATTGGGGGCTGGATGCCAAAATAAATTTCGATCGGCTTCGTAATTGGCACATATATGATAGCCAAATATAAATGTGTGCTCTTTTTTGACATTCGATTTGAACACATCCAACATCATGAATGAAACTATTGTTATTGGGATTTTGCTCGAACCAGATATACTGGCAGTCTGCAAGGAACTTTATTCATACTTGGGGGTCGCCGTAGTACAACAAATGTACCCGCTGAGGAAGGGTGGCTCTGATGCTCTTGGTTTCCAACTGCAAACGGAATCGAGCGACTACGGGCTCGGCGCCGTCCTAACACAGCAAGTGGAACAATAGGTGGCATATGCTAGCCGAGTAAAGTTGCAGAAGAACTAATCATATTTTGGGAGCGCATCTTGGCACGAGTGGATTCTGACACGAAGTCTCGGAAGACGACGGTGCCGAGCGACCGACTGACTAGCTACAGCAATGATTGGTCGAAGCGGGCCCTCGCTTGCCGAGGTTTAGATAAATACCGCTTATGAAGCCCATTAACCGAACCATTTAAATTAGCTCACTGATGATTCAATTCTTAACCCAACCTAGTCAACCAAAAACAAAGTCAACATATGAATACGTTTGGTATTTTATTCGTCTACAGTAATGTGTGAAAGTACACAAAAAAAAGGTAATTGAATGAGGTTTGTGTGGTCTTATTGGGAAAGTATAATTGCCATTATTAACTCCGTTAACCATTGCATTCGTTTCTCGCAGCAAAACACCTCAACTACGACAATAGCTCTTTCCGAATGACCTTATTTGGGGTCATCATCGAAGTACAATGATTTAATGAAGTTGAGGCCTTTTATACCAATACCTTAATTTAAGGTCATTGGAATAGTGCATCTAAGAGTTTCCGTTGGACACCAGTCTCAAGAAGCAGTTCTAAACCCGAATTATTGAATACCAATAGGGTGGCAACTCTCGAGCTGGATAGCGAGTGGTGTGTAGAGCTGGAAAATACTCGATGTTTGGGACCATCGATGTTTTTGAAGGTAAACCATGTATCTTTGGGGAAGTCTGGAAATGGTTGCCGCCGGGAATGAGGGTGCCGCTAGCGGGTCCCCTTAGCTTCGGGAAGATTGATACTGTAGAGTATCTGTGTGTTGCCAATTAAGGTTTACGGTGAGAGGGTAACTGCCCTCTTATGCCCCTGGCCTTCAGCTCCGTAAGAGTGTTGAAAATATCAGGTTGTCAAATACCTTCCTTCCGCTTTTTTTGGTTTTTGAATTTGGCGGCTTTGTGCAAAGCGCTACATATCGGTATCGGGCAATGCTATATATCGATTGAGGGGTCTTGCCCTAATCTACAAAACGACGCTATTCATAACAAGTTTGGTTATTACGTTGAAAAGTTATACATGTGTAAGCGTGGAGTTCGCTAACGCCGAAATTTGCGCTGTTTTAAAGTTTTCCTTCGTGAAACGTAAATCCGCTAGAGAAACATTCCGTGAGATTAAGGGTGTTTTAGGCGATGGTACTCTAGCACTTCGAACCGCGGAGGAATGGTTTCGACGATTCAGAGCCGGTGCAAACGACACCATGGATAAGACAGCCGGCAGTAGACCTGTGACGACGAATACCGATCAAATCATGGAAAAATCGAGCTAGACCGGCATGTGACATCTCGTGACATCGCCGAGGAGATAGATTGGTGACTAACTCACCAAACCGTTTTAAACCATCTGCAGAAAGCTGGATAGAAAAAAAGCTGGAAGTTTGGGTGCCGCAAGTTGGCCTCAAAAGAGGGTTGTGGAAAGTGGCTGTCAGAGTTTTTCGCAAATAAGGAGGTAAGTTTCTACGAGAGGGTATTATGATAATGAACACATTATCGTACAAAACGACGCATATTTTAGCTAAATCCGTTCACTGTATCAATTTTTATAAAGCATTGAGTAAAGATCAAAAAAGCGGAAGGGAGTTATTTGACTACGGTGATTATGAATGAAATGCACTTTATTATTTTATATATAGGTTTTGAGATTTTTTAATATTAAGCGGTTTTACAATATGTTTTGCGATTAGCGAGCGGTTGCGGTGAAGTTAACTATATGAATGCCCCAAAACAAAAAGAATGCAGAAAAACGCGTGATCTTTCAATACTAATGCAGATCTACTGCAATTTCGGCTATGCGTGTGAGCTTAAAGCTTTTATGTAGAAAAGGAAACAATGATGAGCGTTTAACTAGGTGCTATTATAGGCAAATATTAAATGACCGATCTATTTCTCAACAAATATTAAATGACCGATCTATTTCTCAACAAACGGCGATGGCTCTTTATTTAAGTGAATTTAAAACAAGACTGAATATAAGGACTTGGCTTATAGCTAACAGAAGCTCACAGCGGCCAAGCAAATATGATGCGTTTGCCGTCTGTGCACGAGCGTCCGGCCCGTCGCTAGATCAGCAATTTGACCGGAGCGATATGGTTGAAGTAACTGTGGTCAACGACTCTGTTTTGGCTGTGGTCAACGACTCTGTTTTGGCTGACCACAGTTAACTACTCCCCCTTTTGAAGTTAAGGCTGACCTCGGCCGATCCTAAATCACCAATCACCTCTCTTATTTGGATCGCGGATCTTTTTGCCCTTGTGAGTCGTTGATAAGTGAGACCAATGCAGATACGTTTGGTGGTTGTCGATCTCTTCTCTGAACTCCAAATTTCGTTCACTCACACGGTGAAGGTTCGGGAGTCTGAGAACATCTTGGTTGACGGTGATATTCAACAATGTGGAACTTGCTGCCCCTGGAGTTCTCTTCTGAGCATTAGCATGGTTGGTGAAGAGGGTCTCATTTATCACGGCCTGTCGTAGAAGATGATGAGGGTTTACTGGTGGGTTCCTCAACCCAAACTGATTTTAAGTCTTCGTGAAAAATATTCGGACTAACAATATTATTTTGGCAAGGATTATTTCAACCATTAAATTTTGTAATTCCATCATCAGCATTCTGTTTCTAGCAAGTAGTGTCTCGTACAAATGTCCAGTGTCTACTTGTGATCTTGTAGCCGATCTCAGAATTTGATTAACAGTGGAGCTTAGTTGATTAATCTGATTTGAATTTTGGTGTTTATTTGAATTTTCCTATTGTTTGACTCAATTATTTTCATTTCGGTAAATCTAATTTTTTCAAAGTCACCGGCGTCTCTGTCCCTGCTACGACCTTTAGCATTGATCCTAAGAAATCTAAACTCCTAGCTGCTCTGTGATGAACGCCCAACGGCTCTAACAAGTCCTGGAGGTGAGCGGTATCTACGCTAAGAAGTTTTTTCATATGGGATAGTGGAAACATGTCGATCATGTTGTTTCTTTCTTCCACCACGCGCGCATATTCTGAGAGGTTCGATGTATGTGTGACAAATACGAACTCCTCCCAAACTAAGATTTGGCCATCAACGATGGGAATGTACCTGGCCTGCGAATAATCAGACATGTGAGCCGACGCCAGGGATAGGAAGAGATAAAATATGAGTCCGAACCTGTGGAATTGAACATTAGCTATTTTTTGCTTACAGAGGGGTATCCGATTGTTCCTATGAAAGCTATATGAAATAGTCGCCTGATCCGTCTCGTACTGACTTATATACTACCTACGAACAAGTAGGAACGGTCGGACAGACGGAAGAACGGACGGAAGGACGGACGGCCGGACGGACGGACGGACAGACGGACAGACGGACATGGCTTGATCGACTCTCCTGGTCATGCTGATCAAGAATATACATTATTTATAGGGTTGGAAATGTCTCCATCACTGCGTTGTAAACTTTTGACTGAAATTATAATACCTTCT